GGGAGATGGTGCCGGGAATAGCAGGACATGAACCACCCTGGAGCTAGAGCTGGACAGTTGTGAGAAGCCAAGCATGGATACTAGGGATGGAACTCAGTCCCCTGTAAGAGCAGTGTGACACTCTCAGCCACTGAGCCATAGCCTCTCTGTAATTTCTTCTAATTCATTATTCACTAATCCTCCTTCTGTTACATCTTTCCAATGAAGCTTTAATTTGAGGATTACTAGTTATTTTGTTATTGTTATTATTATTGTCTTATTTATTTATTTATTGTAACTAGTTGGTTAGATTACTTCTTTAAATATTCCTGGGAAAATTCTCAAACTTTCATTTCTTTCAAATATCCTCTTACAGTTTTGAAGTACATCTGCTTGTTTCTGTCATCAGTTGCTTGTACTGGTGGTCCTGGTTTCCCAGTGAGCAACATTTTCTTTAATTTTGGGGCCAGCTCATTGCCTTTAGAAATGACTCTCAGCAGTCCCGCAGCCTAAAATGAAGTTGTTCCCTTCTACAAAGCATAATAATTTGGTTCTGTGAGGCTGCTAGAGATCTGTACCGTGTGGTACCTCCTTAAACCAGGCTTGAAATTGAACACAAGTTTTCATGTCACCATCTCCTCCCCTCGCCACCTGCTTCATCTCTTCTAGGCTTGAATTATCTTTTAATTAGGGATGATTCCTTAGCATTTACAGGCTGGACAATCCTTTGTCCATAAAAGAAAACATGCATTTTGATGAATGAACAGAATTTTAGATGATCACATTAGTGCATCCTCTCTCTCTTTATTCGATTGGTTGGTTAAGAGAGTATCACTCTTCATTAAATATTATCCCCAAGAAGGCAAGGTATTGCTATGCTGTCTCTTCTGTGTGAATTGCTCTAATCCTGTGCCACAAAGGATGTGGGCACTTGGCAAATATTTGCTTCTCAGCTAAGATTTTTGTATGCTTATCAGTCCTTCCCACAAGTGGACCAAACCACATATTTCTAGAATTCTTCATGCTTAAGCGGGATATTTAGAATACTACTTGAGTTAGCACTGGCAGTAATCCTTTGTGGCCTTGGAACTGCTTGACCTGTGTCTAATATCTTTCCCCTTAGGTAGCTCAGTCCACTTTCCAGGAATTCACTCTACACCTGACCAGTGATTGTGCCTCTGTCGCTCACTGAAAATAATTATTGTCACTATCTGAAATAAAATCCAAACTTATCAACTTTTATGCCTCTTTTGCCTAAGTGGCATAGCCAGATTTCATGGAAGAGCATCTCTTAATAAGCAAACTAGGGATCTACCACTTACTGGCTATGTGAGCCACTACGTGACAAACTGCTGAGCATCAGTGACATGATGTATATTAGAACACTGACTGCAAGGATAACCTAGGTGTTTTGCAGAATTAGAATAGCTCTACAAGGCTTTTCTGAGAAGAATAGCAATATAATTTTATATTTTATTGCCTGTGGGTACATGGACTCAATGAATGAATAATAGCATAGATATTTCTTCTATAGACCCTGGTTTCCCAACCAAATATAAAGTGAGTCATTAAATAGTAATTGTAAAGCTTAACTATAGGACAATGCATAAATAACCTAGTTCAATACATGACCCATGATTAAATGCATTACAAATGTGTTTCCTCATCCCTCTTGCAAACTGAGACCAAATTTTCCTTTCCTATGGAATTGCAATCAGTTGAAAATTGGAGAGCCACATATTAAAGGACACTCATTATCCTTCTGTTTCTTAAAGTGCTAGCCACATTTTAAGGCTAAGTTCAAACATCACTTACTCACTCAGCATCCTTGAGTCTCACTCTGAAACACTCACTCTCGACTCCATTCTCATGTGAGAATGCATTCCAACAAAATCTTTCTCTCATCTCAGTGCTTGAATTTCCTAAATACCAGTGAGTGTCATTCTATAATGCACAAACCAAACACTTTCTACTGCCTGCAGGAATGGGAAGGCTGTCATATTTTATTTTTTTAAATTGGCATATGAGGTATTAGATAGCGTTGTGATGCTTCTGACAAAGACTGTTTCAGTAGATTCTCCTTCTCCCTCACCTTCTTGTGATCCCTGATCCTCCCTTGCAACTCCTCCATCTCCTTTTCTCTTTCACATTATATGTGACCCTCTTCCTGGCCATTCCCACCCTCCCTCAGCCCGTATTTTCCTTTCTAGTTTGTTTAAAACTGTTATTGATATCAACACACACAGAGACATGCATACACATTACAGAAGATTAAAAATACAACATTTTTAAAGAGCCTCATCCCTTTCAACTTTGTGTAGCTAAAGTCTGTCTCCATGAGGTTTCTCCATTTGCTCTGAGCCATGTCTGTGCCTCTCTTTAAGTAGGCTGCTTGGTAATAATGCATTCCTTAAAATGCACGTGTGTGAGTGATCTCTCTCCTCCTATTAAGTGTAATCCCTGCTGATCAGTTGGAAGCCAGATCCGTGAAGCTGTGGATCTCAACACTGTCTTCATGCCTGCAGGTGCTTTCTTCCTGTTATGAAACTTAGATGATGCTACTCAGGTGCCGTAGCTTCTGGATTTCCTCAGTGGGATCTCCTAGAAGCAGAACCCCTGTGTGAGGTCAACAATGCAGCAGCTTCCCAGGCTTTGCAGCCGCCTCTCGTATGCCAAGAGCAGGTCTGTGGTGCTGGGGAATGGTGATGTGCTCTACTCAGACAATTCACAGCAATTAGGATATAGTGAAAGGATCCAGAAGGGGCACTAAAAGTATCTATAGAGTCATCTTCATGTTGTAACTCTTGATTATGGAAACTACATGTTCTTCTCCCCTACAGTCTCCATAAACCTCCTAAACACCTGCAAGCAACAGCTTGTGAACTGACTTACTCAATGTCTGATGAAGCAATCCCCAAGTTTTCATTAACTTGAATTCAGTGTCATTAATAGTAACAGATACTTGTAATGACTTTAGCTATAATCTCTTCACTATGTAATAGAGAACCAGAGTATGGGACTCACAGAGAGAAAGATGGAGAATTTTATGCTGCAAGTTACTGAAATCTTGGTTGCTCTGCCAATTCAAAAGATGTCTAATGTTTAAATTTAGGAGAGACAAATTATTTTGGAATACCAAGGCAAACATGAGAAAGAGAAGAACTTCTGTATGTTCTAGTCAGTCATGTTGCCCTTTTTAATCACACAAAAGTAATATATGAATACAGTAAACAAAAACAATGTACAAATGAATAGGAAAAATCTATTTCCACTATGTTGGCTTTTTATTCCATTCCCCAAAACAAACTACTATCAATGTTTTCTCTAAACAATCTCTAAAAATGATTGAAGTTATATATAAATATTCATATATTATAGCATATGTCTGTTTTATGTATAAGTATATATAAACCACAATTTGTGTGAATATACATATATATGCACATATATGTATACATACATATATGCATATACACACACACGTGTGTGTGTGTGTGACTTTATATACAAAGATACTGCTGTATATAGAATGCTTTCTACTTTGTGTTTTCACTAATCACAGATATTGCAAGTCTTACTCCATCAACATCCATCAATAGATATTGCAACATATTTAAACTGTTATTTTTCTAGCTCTCAACCTTGAAAAATAATGTCTGTTACCACAGATTGTGCCATTGGAATATAGATATTCATATTCATTTATTTGTGTACATGATTTTAGTACCATTTAAGTTTGAAAGTGTACCCTTGCTTCTGAGCATAATACCAGCAAACCAGGCAGGGGTGTGGCTACCAGATTCCTTACTTATACATTGAATCTTATGTCTTAAGCCTAGGTTACATTCTACATTATCTGCTCACTTGTTTTCAATCTTTCTTCCAGAATATGACTTACAATAAGGAAAGATAGACATGTCTCAATTGAAAAAAAGCCATGTGCAATTCCCAACCAAAGAATACTGTCACAGCAAGTTTTAAGATTGATGTTGATACATAATTTAAATAATAGGATAATTATGTTGAAAGGAACAGAAAACCTGCAGCTTGTTCAGAATTTAAGAGGCTTGGTGCTAATAGCATGTCAAATTTGAGTCTCTTTTGGAGACAGAAATTTTCCAGAAATTAAAGTTGCTATTCTTCTCCTCCCACCAGAATTCCATATATGATTATTTACATCATCTACATCCCTCTCTGCCCTCTCTCTAACTTTATTGTGTTCTTTCAGCTACTTTAAAATTCATGACCTTGTTCTAAATTTGTTAGTGTAACACACCACACACACACACACACACACACACACACACACAATCTACTGAAACCTATTAGTGTTGCTTATGTACACGTGTTCAGGGCTGGTGACTAAGATTGGGAAACCTTCTAGGGGGCCATCCCTAGAGAGAACTGATTCTTCCTCCTTTGGCAGCTGTTGTTGCCTACAGCTCTTCATCCTACGGGGAAGCTCTTATGGAAGTTTGCCCACCCCTGTTGGTATTTTAGCTGGTGTGGTCTTGTGCAGACATTCCTATTATTGAGAGTTCATGGGTGCAGTTTCGCTGTCATGTGTAGATGACACTAGCTAGCAGCTGTCCTGGTCCTGTGGCTCTTACAATCACTCCATCTCTTCTTTGCTATTGTGTGAGCCTTAGATTGGTGGTTCTGTTGTAGATGACCCAACTGGGGATGAACAGCCACATTCTCTGCATTTTGACAAGTTGTACATCTCTGTAGTAGCCTTCTGTAGTAGCTGAAAAGAGAAGCTTCTTTGATGAAGGATGAAAACTGCACTACTCAATAGGTCCAAAGATAACGAAGTATTTTACCTGCTTCTTGGCTGGGTTAGTAGTACCAGGCATGTAGTCCCTCCTGTTGAGTGGGCCTTAAATCCAATTAGACAACTGTTGAATCTCTCCAACATGTAAATGTTACTTATATGTTGTATGTGTTCTATACCAACCCTGGTATTCCTAAAATGTCTCTTGTCTTTTTTTTTTTTTTTTTTTTTTTTTTTTTCTTTACAGTGAAGTACATGAGAGAAGCCACACCGTATGTGAAGAAAGGATCCCCTGTGTCTGAGATTGGGTGGGAAACGCCTCCACCTGAGTCACCTAGATTAGGGGGCAGCTCTGCAGACCCTCTATCATCCCAGTCCTTCTCCTTCCACAGAGATCGGAAAAGCATCCCCCTCAAGATGTGTTACGTCACCCGGAGCATGACCTTGGCGGACCCTGAAAACAGGTAATGGGGCAAACTTTCCTGGCCTCTGAGGTTGTAAGAGAAGTTGCCATGTTGTGCTCCTGTCTGAAAAATACTCACCTCTCATGAGTAGAATGAAAGGTCCTCCCACCCTGCAAGCATGGCGAAGACACATACTGAAGGAGGGAGACTACATTCCATCCAGGATCCCTCCCGCCCTCCTGTTCTTTATCATCATGATGCAAATGCACGTGACCAGTTTCTAGGTAGAAGGGGAGAATTGTAATCAGGATCCCCGTGTCTTTCTTGGTTTGTTCATTGTGAGTCTATGAGATTTTCGGTGAGTTCCTCAAACCTCCATGTTTTGATTTGGTCTTCTATAAGATGGGAACAACTAAAATAGACACCAGCCTGAAAGGACAAATGAAGAAATCCTATGAAAGCTTAGCCCTGGAATGGGAGTGCACTGCATTGGCATATGTCAGAATGTTAGTAAAGGCAAACCTGCCCTTCTGGGCTGCAGCATCCTCAACAGTGGCCTAGGAGGGTCAGATGGCAGAAGGCTTAAAGTTCTTCTCTCCCATAAGAGGGTAAGAAATGGCATCACTTAGAGATTGCCCGGCACTTTTCCAAAGTCCGTGACTCTGAATGGCACAGGATAGATGATCCACCTAATCTTGAGGACAGCAAAGGTGAAGCAAAAGTTTATGGCCTCTTTTCAGCCCAAGATTATCTGACCACAAAATACACAAGTTGTTAAGAAAAGGTATCAAAGAATGCGATTAAGACAAGAAGAGGGAGGAGGTAAAGAGAAGAAGTGAGCCAGCAAATGGGAACTCTTGGTGACCTTTGTATCCACATTAAAGTGCTAAACATAGAAGCAGCTCTACTGGTCATTCTTTACAACATGTGTGGGACAGCTGCAACTCCCACAAACGGGAAGCGTTTGGCTAGGTTCGCAGTTTCTGATGGGGAAGAGCCAAAGTGATTGGGGCAGGGAGGAAACGGACTCCTTGCCTCCTAACTCCATGTGGGTTTTAGTTTTTATCCCAAGAAGTTCACTCTAAGGGAGCTGCTAGGGCCCTTCTGTCACATCCCAGTGCCCTCCTCCCCAGCCCCCTTGCCAGCACCCTCATAGCAGCACAAGGATGGGCTGCTCATAAGAGACAAGCAGCAAGTCGCATTGAGAGAGGAGTCAGTACAGGTGAGACGAGGAGGTGGTCCTTCCTTGTGACCCTCTTCCTTCCTGTTCTGTTTTCTTCTCCCTCCATTTCCACTGACTCCCTGGGCCTGCCATTGATTTCCTGGCTGCTCACAATTTCCTCCTCCCTTGGGTGCTACCCACCTAATCAAATGCGTCCTTTCTCCCAAGAATTAAGGTCAAGGTTTGACAGTCTGTGTTGTGCTCATCTTGTACTGAGTTTGACGCTCATTCACTTAGTCCAGCAATTGCAGTCACAGCTTACAGATATACTCTACTCGTTCATGTTTCTTTCACTGAATATGGTGAAATTTCAAACACAGGCTTTTACATTCCTAACCATACATACATACATACATACATACATACATAAAATATAGTGGTTACTGTTGGGCACATACTGCTGTAGGCGGGGCTCTAAGTAGCAGGATCCCAGAAGCTATTCATGCTTTGACAATGGAACCGATGCTTTTTCTCTTAGGGGATTTGTAGAATTTCTTGTCTGGTCCCTCATATTGCCTGTTTAATGTCTGACATCTTAACACATGTTAGCCCTCCTAACAGCTGTCTCTGATGTAATTGTTGTCCCCATTCTATGAGCAAAAAGAAAAAATTAGGAAGATAAAGAAATTTCCAGAACCATCTCAGAAGTTATTAACACCTTGAAGAATAAGTTTACGAAGGATTTCTTGTTGTTGTTCTTCTAGCAGTAGACTTGTATGCTGTAACATGTGTGACCTATGAATAGCATGAGGTCAATCAATTATCAAGGCTATTTTGAGAAACCTAAGACTTTAATAATACTAGAAATTCCATTATGTGTGTCTATCTAGAGAGGAGAATGGATTTTTTTAAAGCTTAATACCACTGCTGTTTAAGTCTACCACTGATGAGTTATCTGCACAGCATCCTGGGTGGGAGAAGCAGAGCCTGTCCTGCTGGGATATGAGAAAGAACAGGGCGAAATTAAAAATGAAGGTCCAGCTGAGACAGATGGTTCAGGGGGGACATCGGGTGCAGATAGGTCCTGAGCCTCTGCTACTAAAGACATAAGGGTAAGACTTGCCCCTACTGAAGAAAGAAAAGAAAGAGGAGACAAATGTTTTACGGAGTTGCATTTACATACTGGGAAGAACATAGCATTGCCAATCAGAAAAATAATATTGGCAAACCACAACTCTGCTGAGTAAAAGAAACTCCTAACACAAAGTGATTTCAGAGGTGCAAGATGCATTGCCTGGCAGGAGCCCACAAAACTAATGCAACAGAAAGCACCAATTTTAATCTTGATATAGGACAATGTAAAATGCAGGGTGAGGAGCAAAAAACAAAACAAAGAAGGATTGATTTATGTTGAAGACCAAAATTCACAAGAAGCATTCAATAGATTTAAACACAAACCAAATAACAATACAGCAGCAGCGTATGCAGCAGAAGCTATAGAAATAGCACTGGGAAACAGAAGTGTGATGGAGTAAGGTAATTTAATATATGTCACTCTCAGTCTAAGACGAGTCATGTGGCTGGCAAAAAGATGAATAAGGATGTAGAAGACATGAATAGCATAATAAGGATTTTCTAAAGTTTGTACCTTGTAATTAGAGAATGCACTTTCATTTTAGATGCACATAGAGTCTACAGTCATAATACCATGACACTCCCAACCCCATCTCATCATGTATACAACTGGACATAGAGTACACCACAAAGAGAATGTAGTAGGTGCCACAAGGTAGAAATAATATGAGCAATGCCCTCTGGTAGTAGCGGACTGACACCAGCAAATTAAAAATAAAGTCAACCTAAAATACCTCCTTTTATTTTTTTTAACACATTCCATAATTAGCTCTTGGACCATAGAAGAAACACAGTAAACTTCTAGCCAATCATTAAAAGATAATAAGGGAAGAGAGTACAAAAGGTTAATGTAAAAGAGAGAAAAAGAATGAAGAATGTGGGCACTATGTCTAGCCAGAGGCATGAAGAAGTTCTGTCATACCTACATCAAGTTAAGCAAGAACTAATCAGTGAATGCAGTTAACCATCCTCCATATTCCAACACCACTCTAAGCTGGAACTTTCACCCACCCAGCCTTGACTGACACCAAGTTTCTGAATCATCACCTCCATTGTCCCCTGCCTCAACACCTGACAGAACCCTTCACCTGAACTGACAGTCAGGAGTTAATGGCCTCCTGGGTGCCAGAACATGAAAGCAGATTGGCAAATGCCCTCAGTGGGCGACACACAGTTGCTCACGGTTTGCATTAAAAGCTTTAATGCTCAATTTCTCAAATAGAAGCAGCCATAGAACAGCAGGCAAGATTGCTGCTCTTTCTATGGAAAAGGTCACTCAGCAGGCACCGAATCCACAAGAATTTCACTGCTAGTGGCTATCAATGAGGACAACACACTCCTTTCAACTGCTCCCTCTTTACATATCCCCTACTTTTCATATTTAATTCTTGGCCTTCACACCCAGGGAGGGCCCTCATCCTGGCCAACTAGTTCACTAGAGTATTTGGAGCCATCTCCTTTCTGATGCTTTGTTTTTAGTTGGTTACTCTTCTGGTTCCCATTCTCCTAGTCGATGGAATTAGAAACCCTGCATTTATCCATTTGTTCAAACAGGCTACATCACCCACACATAATAATATCTATATTCTTTGGTATTGCATAGAAGCCCTGGTAAGCTTTGTACCCTCCCTAATTGACCAACACTGGCCCCTGTGTTTACAACCTTCATGCTCCAGCAATCCTTAGGCAGTTTTTGTAAGGCCAGTAGTAGCCTCCTGTCATCTTCCCAAAGGCCCTTGTTTAAGCCCCAACAGAAGTGACCCCTCCTGGACATACCTCTTGCCACTTGCCACACCTTCCATGCAGCTCTGCACATTTATTTCAACCTTCTTAAAGACTGAAACCTTTTTTTTCTTTTTTTTACACGCCTACCTAGTTCCTGAACTACATGGTTCTTGAAATCGAAGGCATTCAACTTTTCATTTCACCCTCCTGGCTTTCAGGAACTTTGTTCAGGACAAAGTAGATACTCAAAAATGTTCTCGGTAAAATATGCTAAGTAGCATACTTATCTGTGCATTTCGGACATCCTTACTTCTTCAAAATTTTCAGTCTTGAATATGAGAGAATTGATTAACACAACATTCTATCCCAATGCATAAAAACATTTGGTGAAATTAAGACAATGCATTTGCCAGTCTGGTAGTGGGTGTGGGCAGCTACATCAATGCAGACAGTGTTATGAGGCATCCATCACCACGTTGTGAACTATACAACAGAGTTCACTGTATATTTCATGGGCAAAGTATGAAGAGATACACTCAACCTGTTTTGGAAAACAGTATGTGTTTCTATGGACGGTGCTCGGGTGAGAAGCTCACCAAGGTTCTGTTCAGGATTCAGATGGAAATATCTGTTTGGCACAATGACTAGGAGAGCTGGGATCAGATGAGTCTTGTAGGACACACTTGAATTTTTTTTTCATGAAAGCACCATCTGTGACGTTGTTGTGCCCCAACTCTGAACCCCCAAATCATCAAGAGACCCGATCCGATGCAAAAGAAAAGAGTCTTTAATTTCACGAGTTTTCTCAGTTCCCCCATCCGTCTGACACAGCAGGTAAAGCAGATAGGACCCTGAGCAGCAGCAGTGCTTGGAATTTATTAGGGTAGAGTAAGGGGAGTGTCTAGGGGGTCCACTAGTTGCTTAGCAACAGTCTCAGTATTGGTGCTCCTCCGGGTTGGGGCAACCTGTCCTGTTGATTGGTTATAGCAACAAGGTTGCTATGCCTAGAGGCCCTCCCAGGGCAGTTGCTATGCTCTGT